GGTATCCTTTGGCATTTGGTGCATGGGGATGTTACAAAATGCTCCCAGGACAGAACAGGACAAATCTACATACAGTGAGAGGGAAGAAAAGTATTTGTATCCCCTGCTGATTTTTTACGTTTGCCCACTGCCAACGAATGTGCAGTCTATAATTTTAATTGGTATGTTGATTTGAAATGAGAGACAGAATACAACAAAAATCCAGAAACAACTGATGTCAAAATTTCTAAATTGAATTTGCATTTTAAATGAGGGAATACGTCTTTGCACCCGCTTCTCAATCAAAAGTTTCTGGCTCCCAGGTGTCTTTTATACAGGTACGAGCTGAGATTAGAAGGCACACTCTTTAGGAGGGCCTCCTATCTCAGCTTGTTTACCTTTATAAAAGGATAGCCTGTCTCACAGAAGCCTTTCAATCAATCAGATTTCAACCCTCCACCATGCCCATGCCAAAGACTCTCCAGGATGTCAGGGACAATATTGTAACGCTACACAAGGCTGGAATGGGCTACAGATCCATCGCCAAGCAGCTTGTGAGAAGGTGACAACAGTGGTGGCGATTAATTCATCAAATGCCAGAAACACAAATCACTGTAAATCTCCCTCGGGCCTCTGGCTTCCATGCTAGATCCTCACCTCTTGGAGTTGCAATGATGCAATTAGAATGTTGAGGAATCTATGCCCAGAACTACTACGGGAGGAATCTTGTCATGATCTCAAGGCAGCTGGTACCATAGTCACCAAGAAAACATTGTAGCAACATACGCGTGAAGGACTGAAATCCTGCTATACGCCCAAGGGCCCCCTGCTCAAGAAGCACATATACGGCCGTCTTAAGTTTGCCCAATGAACATCTTAATGATTCAGAGGAGAATGGGTGAAAGTGTTGTGGTTCCGATAGACCAAATCGAGCCTTTGGTGATCAACTCAACTCGCGCTTGTTTTGGAGATGGAGGATGCTGTCCTATGCCCCCAGAACAACCATCCCCACTGCAAACATGGAGGTGGTAAAACATTATGCTTTGGGGTGTTTTCTGCTAAGGACAGGACACTTCCACCACGCATCAAAGGGACGATGGATCGGGGCCATTTACTCCACCACGGCAAATCTTAGGTGAGGAACCTCCTTCCTCATCCATGTCATTTAAAATTGGTCGTTGGATGGGTATTGCCAGCATGACAATGACTGCCAAACAACCATGCCATGCCAACAAAGGAGTGGCTGCACGAAGAAGCACTGAAGGGCCTGGAGTGGCCTGGGCCATCTCCAGACTTATCCATAGAAATCTGTGGAGGGGAGCTTAAGTTTCGAGTTTCAAACGTCGAGCCTTCGAAACCATTATGACTTGGAGACGATCTAGCAAATAGAGTAAGCAAAATCCCTCTGAAGATGTGTGCAAACCTGGTTGCCACACTACAATAGACGTCTGACCTCTGTTATTGTCAGCAGGGTTTTGCCACCAATACTAAGTCATGTTTTGCAGAGGGGTCAAGAATACTTATTCCATCATTCAAATGGCAAAATCATTTATAAAATTTTTGACGTGCGGCCTTTTTCTGGTTTTTTTTTGTTATTCTTGTCTCTCACTGTTAAAATAAACCTACCATAAAATTATAGACTGATCATGTCTTCTGACGTTGGGCAACGACGTACAAATCATCAGGGGATCAAATCTTTTCTTTTCCTCACTATAATTGGAATCCAGTTTCCATGAATGCTGCCTCAAATTATTTACCTCATAGACCAACCTTATAAAGTATGTTGGATTATATTCGCTTTCAACATTCATTTCATATGATTAATTACATTTCATTACTAATTAAAAATAATAAAGCATTAGGTATGATATGTTCCTATGCCTTTACTTGGTACTTTGAAGATCTATGAGACTGTGACTATCGCAGTTAATATTATTTTTTTCTAGCATTGCCTTTTTAGCATACGAGCATAAGCAACGCTTACTCATGTCGTCCTGCTCGTTGGACAACTTGAGTGTCTGTCTCCGGGGTCATAGATCTTCTCGTCTCCATTGTGTTGTTCTTTGTCTTTGTCCGCCTGTCTCTCCTCTGTTTCTGACTCATACACACACGACGGACTATGAAAGATATGACTAAGGGAGGGCAGCTTTGTTGTCAACATCAGTACATTTCACTTTCGCTTTTAGCATTTAGCAAGTAAGTCCACCCTCCTCTGCTTCATGTACCCAGGCACTGGAATTCCCCCCCCCCCCATATTCATAAAATCTCACATTCCAATTCGCATCGACAGCGCTCCCTTTAGCTGCAATGACTCCAACCAAACGCTTCCTGCTTTGATCAGTCTCTCCAATGCCGCTGTGGAGGAATTTTAGCCCACGCTTCCCATGGCAAAGCTGGCTTTACCTCAGAACTTTTGGGGTGTTTCAAGCCTGGCTCTGTCGTAAGCCGCCGCGACGCGGTAGCCTATGGGGCTGCGCACAATTGGCCGCCGCGTCGGTTCCAGGTAGGAGAGGGATGCCGGCAGTGAGGGGGGGTGGGTGGTGGGCTGGAGGTGGGGTTTGAGGGGGGTGATTGGTTTTTGGGATGGCTGAAATGGGTGGCAGGAGTTTCTCTTCCTTATTTTTTAGTCCTTCAGTTGTTTGGGGGATGTTCTTTGTTGGCTTTTCAACTAGTGAGTGATGTATTAATTGGTTTATACGGCAGTCTTTAAATGTGGCCCGTTTGAAATTAATGTGATTTAGGGAAGAAGAGGTGAGTAATTATAATTAAAATGTTATATTTTGGGCAAACTGTGAGTGTTATTGTCCATGTTTTTTAGAAGTGAGTTGTAAGATGATTCTGGTTTTGTTCTGTAAATAAGTAAACTGAGTTTTGTAGGGGAGGGTGGAGGTTGTTGGTTAGGTGATAATATAGTATGTATATTGTGAATTCTACTATTTAGGAGAGTTTAGGAATAGGTTCTGGGAGAGGATGGAGGTTGGAGGGCTTAGTTTTTTATGTTTTGGGGGTTGCTTATCAGTGGAGATAAACTTCTTTGTTTTTGGCATTTACGGCATTTGCTAACTGTATTTGATTATTTGGGTTGGTCTCAGTAGGGTTTGTGGGGAATCTTAGGGGTCATTGAGAGGTGTAAGGGTTAATGCTAAAGGTTGATGTTGGGTTTGGGAGGTGTATTTTTTAGAATGGGGGATATGGTAATTGGGGAGGTTATATGGGGGTGTAATGATTAGATTGTGTGTAGGTTTATATCTTATTAGGGTGGTTATTGTAGTTATTGTATTGTTATGAGTTTGTGTTGGTACGGTGTGTGATTTATTGAGATCCATTGGTGGACTGTTGAATTGATTGTGGGTGTGTCCAGTAGTGTGAATATTTGTAGTTAATGTATGTTGTATTGTAAGTGGGAATTAGGATGTTGACACATTTATCTGCGAGTTGGTAAGCATGGTGTTTGCACGCCAGGGTTGTGGGTTCTATTCCCATTATGAAAAATAAAATAATGTCTGTGGCACTCACTACTGTAGTCGCTCTGGAATAAGACGTCTGCTAACTGACTAAAATGTAAATGTAAATGTAATAAACAGTAGGCAGAATTCATGGTTCTCTACCTCATAATTCAGTATGCCTACCATAACCAAACTCTCCTTACCTCCCTCTCTCCCAAATCGCACCCCAACTCCAAGGCAGCATCAGATCACCCTTATGTGACTTACAAACCTTACACGCACAGCGACTGTGGTGCGGGCCCGATTTGGGATCCTCGGGGAATATCAGTAAACACTGCTTGGGCAAATCAATTCCAATAAAGGAGTCAGATGGATGATAAGCCTGCATGTATAACTGCAGTCTGTTTAGCTATCAATTCCAATCCTTGCCACTCCTGTCATGCTCTTTGGCATATGACACAAATTACAAGGATGGAATGTGTTAGCTTAAGGACTTGTTCCCCTAGGTCATAGATGAATGAAAGTCAAACATCTGTACATTTATACTTTTCAACATTGTACAATAAATATCTTTAACTTAGATATTTCATTTTAAGCTTGTTCCGCAAAACATCTCTGCACCTGGCTTATCACTAATATATCGAAGGTATGTGGATTTGTGATTCGGCTATTTCAGCCAACACCGGTTGCTGAACGGTGTATAAAATCGCTCACACAGACATGGGCACTCTCTCCATAGACATTTTGCTACATCCTCAGATAACATCTGCTAATATGTGTATGTTGACCCACTAAAACTTTTGATTTGATTTGACAAACATGGGCAGTGAATGGCCTTACAAAGAGTTCAGTGCTTTCGAACGTGGCACGTCATAGGATTCCACCTTTCAACAGTCAGGTCGTCAAATTTCTGTCCTGGCGCGAGCTGCCCTGGTCAACTGTAAGTCTGTTATTGTGAGGGAAACATCTATGAGCAAACAAACGGCTCAGTCAGCGCGAAGTGGGAGGTGCCACACAAGGCTCACCCGAACATGACGCACCGACCTGCCTTTAGCCGTAACACTAAAATATCTGTCTCTCGGTGGGCAACACAC